TTTTCCCTATAACTCTGAGCCTACTGCTGATCCAACATAACTTCAGGTATCCACAAACCGATGACCCAAAATAATGCAACATAAAGTTCCATTTTCTAGAGCTTGTTCTCATCAGGAATTTCTTTGGACTCTGTATAAGATTCTTCCCCAGGAGATGACATTCTTTGTGATAACAGACCAAGCTCTCTCAAGAGATCTCTACTTCCCTATAACTCTGAGCCTACTGCTGATCCAACATAACTTCAGGTATCCACAAACCGATGACCCAAAATAATGCAACATAAAGTTCCATTTTCTAGAGCTTGTTCTCATCAGGAATTTCTTTGGACTCTGTATAAGATTCTTCCCCAGGAGATGACATTCTTTGTGATAACAGACCAAGCTCTCTCAAGAGATCTCTACACAGTGTTCATTAATATCTGCTTTTGTCCTTCTTGAATACTTCCATTAAGCATCCCATGGCTCTTGCAGTCTCTTCTTTTTCTGAATCCTAGTCTTCTAACCATTCCTTTTCAATTTGGGTAGAGGCATGTACCTTCCCACTATTCCCTTCATAGTGGAATACCACAAACTTCTTCCGTTAGCACTTTTTTTTTTGTCTGACTGCCCATTTCAAATGTGGACACAACTTGTGTGGTTGGCATCCAGCATTATATATTTTTCAACATACCCACTGATCCTTTTCCTTTCCATCTGTCTGTGTGACTATTTTGTCAGCTTCTAGCTACACCATAAACTTCTTATTACTCCCACACCTCTGATTTCTCTCACACTCCATAATTCACCTTTAACCTATATTCCAAGGCTAGAAATCTCAGTCCAACTTGATTATAGATGATTGTTTCTTCCCACATTTTCTTTGACTGTAAATCTGCCTATTACCATCCTTATGGTGTTGCTAGAATTCAGACTTCTCTGACCCTTAAATTCTTAAATAACTAGTTGTAGTAGGACAGTAGCACCCGCAATGTGCTAGATGCTGCATAAACCAATCATGAGACATTGTAACTTGAAATGCTCAGTCTAAGAAGAACAAAGACTGCAGAAGAGGAGTACAATGAATATAAGTTCATTTGTGCTGCCTGTCAATCCTTCAAATCTTCCCACCATCCTCGGAGACAGTAAATCATTTCTTCTCTAGCTGATTAACTACTGTGTAAAACATCTTGAAATACAATGCTGTCATTAAAATAAAGCGTGTCATTTCCAATTTTCTATTTTCAAGCACTTTTCCACCTGGCTCTGAATGTGAATTAGAATCAACTACCACTTTAATCAAATCCTTGCCTTCCTTGAAAGTAAAATTTCTGTCCTCATATACAAAAGCTCTTTCAAAATCTGTTAATGCACTACTGGTTGCACCTCTCTCACCCAGAACTCTCTTATCCAGAAACATCTGTCATCCAGAATGATTTTAGTTAGCCAGATGACCACTTTTCATGGGTGTGGCCAATTTTTCTGTGGCTCCATAAAGTTTGTTTACAGTCACCAGTCCTGGCTCTGTGTTCTGTGCTGTTATTTAGCTCTAATTTACCCCTAAATGTTTTCTAAAAGTACAGTAAGCAGTGGAAGTGTTGATAATGCTGCTAGAAAACACTAAATCCCTGTGGTTCGGAAAACTCTCTCGTTCGGAATTGGTCTGGTCCCAAGGGTGCCGGATGAGAGGGGTTCAACCTGTACTTTAAAGCATATATGCGCTAGACTTCTGGTATATTAAAAACAACAATGAAAGAAGGGGATTTGTACCAGTTCTTCCATTTTTACTGGGACTATAGGCTTGTTTATTTCACTGCTATTGTATTTCCAGTTTTGATTAATCTAACTATAGTTCCTGGTAAATGTTCAGAGCAGCTGTCTCAAGGGGAAAAGATGATTCCATTCAAATACAGGGCTTGATCCTATAGCTATTAGTCAAACATGTATTCCCAACAATCTATCTCAGAAGAACTTCTCCCGTGAATACAGATTATAGTCTCTATATTTGCATGGAACCCTCTTCACCTTTGAAACCCTCTTAACCTATGAGAGAACATAGCAATTGAGATCATTGTGATATGCTTTAGAGAAAGTCCCCCTCCTGCCCTAAGCAGGATAATGATAGGGGCCAGATTTTCTCAGTGAAAGGTCACTGATTCTGGAACTTTCTTCCCAGCTCATTTCACTGGAACCTGGATTTGATGAGTGTCAGAACACAATGAAGGAGTCAGAGCCTCTTCTCCTTGGCTTTTCCTAGGCAGTAAGGAAGTAAGGAGAAGTAGTGAGGGGTTGGTGAAAAGGTATGCCTGAAGCTTCAATGAAAACCTTATTGATGTTAGAGAAGGAATTTTTAGAATTTGTCTTGTTGAGACTCACATTTTATTATTTATATATATATTGTACTGAATCAAAATATCCGTTTTAATTCCATGCTCTAAACTACACTTGGCATTTAAGACAGCTTTATAGGAAATCTAAACAAATAAGTATGCCACCTGAGAACACAGAGCTATATTTTATATTATTTTCAAAAGAAGAGAGGTAATTGGGAACCTGGCTGAGGCGATAAGGGCAGAAGCTTACAAATGACCCTCTCTACTATCATTAACATCAAATTATTTGCTATGAGCAAGCGAAACACATTGTAAAACATGGTAACAAGAGCTATTCATGTTTCTGTATCCTTAGTTTTATGACATCATTCTACAGTAGCTGAACTGAGAATGATAGCTGAGAATGTAATATTATTTGCTTTCACTATCTAGCCCCATCCAACCTATTCTCTCTCATTCACTATCAAAATGTCAACTCCCACTTCTGTTTGGCCCAAGATGCCAGCTTCTATCACCCATTATTAGATTTTCAAACCAGTATCTTTGAGCTTTCTGTCATGATGCTCCTTACCTTTAGGAGGAGCTTCCCATAAATATCCACAAAGCAACCTTATTATTCACCTTTCATCCCTCCTTAAAACTCTTAATGTTTAGGCTGCTGGTGTACTGATTCCACTGCTTGCTATGCTGATCTATATTGTCTCATTGTTTCCTTAGACTCTTCTCTCTATATATCCATCTGTTGCCTCTTGTCTCGGACTATAAACTCTTTTGGTACAGGGACTGTCTTTTTGTCCTGTGTTCGTGTAACACCTAGAACAATGTGATCCTAATCTTTGACTTAGGCTTCTAAATACTGCGTAGTAATACAACTGATAATGTATATTATGTAATTTTCTATTTATAAAACCCGTTTATAAGAAAAATAGATTCAAATATGATGTGGATTAAAAATTCTCCATGCCAAAGTACATTTCACATCATTTTTCAGAAGTACAGTTATAAAACTAGCTTTTGACAGCAATTTAGTCTTGGGTGGCTTATAAACATCATGTCATTGTAGAATTTACCAAGCCCATAAAAATATTTTCAAAAACATTATCTAGGCTATAAAGTAGTGCTTTTGGGCTTAACGTGGATTTGTGTGCATGGAAATAGTCCAAGCAAATATAAGAAAATGCTAACAAGTTTTCAGCTGTATTTCCTGTAGAATGCAATTGTCTTTGGGTCATACAGAGGCAATATATGCAGTCCGTATTCACCTCTAGAAACTCTGCTTCAAATTCTAATTTAGTTCACAAATGAAAATGACTTTGTTGGTTTCCTCTAGTCTTATCTATTCACATCATAAAATGTCCAAGGCTCAAGAAATTCTCTAGATTGAAACAGAGGGGAGGTGGTCCGTAATTTAGTACAGTGGTGTACTTGCTGAGCAGGATAAGAAT